AAGCCGACCATAAGGAGACTGACGGACAGTAATCCGGGAGAGCCACTAATTCCCCAATAGGAATTCTTTTGTTGAGGGGTTGGGCTCCCTGTTAACTCATACTCTCCGTTCTGTAGAATCTCTTCATTCCCTGTCTGGGAAGGTGGGCGTTATTTAACCAATGTCGTAGAATGTCGTAAAGTTTCTTGAATCGCTAAATCCGACAATTCCGACATTTCCGACATTTAGCGAAAGACTATATCGCTGATTCTCAAAACAAACCAATAAGCCTTTTTGGAATGTTTGTTAAATCGTTTAATACGGAACACTTGAAGTTCTGAGTCTCTCGCCAAATGTCGGATTTAGCGATGCGACCGGAAAGCTTCCAACATTTGTCGATGTAGTAGAATGTAGTAACTATTTAAGCGATGTCGTACAATGTCGTAAGCTTTTTACAACATTCACGACATTTACGACAGTGGTGAGTAAGCCACTGTATTTTCGGTATTCCTGCACTAGTACAATAAGCTAGACCCCACAATTACTCTATCAAGCCTAACTAATGTAATGGCAATCATTACGCCTACTTTATCGGGAGTGTTCCGGGCTGAATCCGGGCATCCGTCCGGGCTCCTCTTGGATTCTTGGATTCATGGCTGCAAGTAAATTGGGGAATGCTCTGTTAAATCCTTTGTTTGATGTATCTTTGAAGTAATTATGAGTAAGCGATATGTCGCCGAAATTGTTTAAATCCTCGCTTTGATATTTGCATAAACTACGTTAATGCTCTTCACTTCAGGTGGGTTATGAGATTTAGGTGCTAGCCAGACAGTTCAAACGTGAATGGTTGGGTGGCTAGGTATCCAGCTACACTATCCAGCTACACTATCCGGCTGCAGGAGCGTTCCTCAATCGTGCATGCAACTGACCCTAAATTAGGGTCGGATTTAAGGTCGGATTCCCTTTAGGGTCGGGTTTCGAAACCGACCCTAAAAATAGGGACGGTTTCTGAAAAACCGTCCCTAGTTTAGGGTCGGGTTTCGATTTAGGGTCGGGTTTGAAAAACGTCCCTATATATTTAGGGACGGATTCCCCCAAACCGACCCTAAATTAGGGACGGATTTAAAGTCATGCACGATTGAGGAACGCTCCAGGCTATCTAGGCTAGTAGTCTAGGTGTATTTTAAAAGAACGCACTGCATGCTGGATATCAAAGAAATCGGTTCTACTAGTAGTAGATACCTGGTAGTTAGGCTACAGGAACAAAATGCAGTCGTCTTGTTTCCAAGGTTGTTTGGCTGATTGTAGGCAAAGATGTCGCACATTGCCGTAGTAGAGGCGGTGTTGTTTGTGTGGGTACATTGGAGAGCAATTTGTCGTTACTGTAGCTGTTGAAGAGTACAATGGGATCCTTGTAAGCAAGCGCAGGCAACAATAGGTGGCTTGATCACGCCGAAGAATTTCATGTCATTGTAGTGAAAAGTGGGCCGCTTGCTGGTGACCAAAGAGACGTCGCTCGTGTAGTCAGCGACCAAAGGGCGTTCACTCGTGTAGTCAGCGACCAAAGCTTTTCGTGATCAGACGACCATTGTGGTTGTTCCTTGGGAGAACCTTGTAGCAGCAGACACGAAACAGGATTTTGGAAGAGTAGGGGTGTGGAAGCAGTGAAAATTGTCAACGAATACGACTGGCTTGTTTGTACGGTCGAAAATGACGTTTTCATGCTGTTGTTGTTGTCAAATAGTGTCTCGACAGTATTATTGTCGTTGTTGCCGACTGTCGTGAGATTGACTTTGTTACCGTCTCAGCGCCAACTTCGCAAGCTGGCCGCGTGGTAAATGGCAGTTGAACCCGGACCAAAATGGCCAAAAGGGCATTACTTCCAGAGAATTGTGAATGTACCAGTACTGCACCAAACCGAATGAATCATTTTACCAACCGTGCCAGCTATCTGCCAAACCTATCATCTTTTGACAACCCATAGAGTTAGCTTTTCCGTTGGCACCGTTTCTGAATTCGCTGTGGCGATTGTTGCCTTGAATCTGATTGCGCCCGCTTGGACAAAGCTGAAGCCAACGAATCTCCCTCTGGGCTGGTCTCTAAACCACTGGTAGAGCCATCAGACGGGGATGCCTTGCCTTTGCTGGGGCAACCTGTGTTCCGTGTGTTCCGAAAAAAGTGGGAAATCTACAAGCAAGGAATGGGTGAGAATAATCAGCAAAATCATTTCTGACTCTTCTTTGCCTAGCATGCCCCTTGCTGGCATTCATAGAGTACTTCCCTACTCTGAAAATCCCATTACCTTCTCTGCGCCAACAGTTAACTCATGTTCATACATACCTTGTTCCTCACATCTTGTTGGTCCACTCTTTCCCATGCATCATCTTCCCATTTCAAAAAACGGCCGTGTGATTCTCGGATAATTGTGACAATCTGTTCAGCAATTGCTGTCTTTTCATACTTTCCCGCAGCCTCATACTTGTCTCGAAACATGTCAGCGATATGTGCAGCTCTAAGGTTGCCGGTGTGATTCCTTGTATGAAGTCCTCGTCCAAACAGGACATCAAATGGACGGGGGACTATGATATCAATGCTTGTGTTGCCCTTTTCTTCCTGCTTGTGCCAGCTTTGAATACATTGAAGATGATGCTCCAGATCAATGGGTTCATTTTTTGGACCGAATGGGAAACGATCTGTTGAGATTCCAAAGGTCTGCAATGCAAAGTTGAGCTGCTGAAAGTCCCCAAAGTGCACTCGGATTCGACTCCTCAGTTCCTCGTGGAGGAACCAACGAATGCCTTCAACCAACGGACGTAGACATTTTTGGCTGAGCAGGATATGGACACAAGCAATCTTGCGAGGGATTCCAGGCCTGAGTTTATTCATTAGCTGTGCTTGGGTGAATATACTTTGTTGTACTTGCAGCAGAGACTTCCCTGACCAGCGCATCACAACAACAACGCCCTTCTTTTGTGCAATCTCAGTTTGGAGAATGGACATTATGAGAAGCACAATGGCACGTTGCTGCATTTGAATCGAATCAGAAAAAACGGTGAGGGACCAAAATGTGGATACCAAGAGCTTGCAGTTCCACTCCACTTTGGATCCCAATTACATACATGGCATTCCACAGCCAGAGAGCCGTCTATGCAAGTAGGTGATAATGCCAAGACCAGACGGCCGGCAGCATCGCACCCAGGCAAGAGCTGCCAGGCCCCTGATTTGAGGGACTTTATATCATCTTCATTGAGATCGCTCAAACGCAGCTTTCGGGCCAAGGCAGGTCCACCACCAAACATATCCATCTTGTTCTCCAAATGTGTTACTATTCTTTGTGCCGACACCTGGACATCAAACTTATCGCAGCGAAGAAACATGAGCCGAAACTCTTGACCAGTTACATATTCTTCATTCAGATACTTGGCTTTATCATACGCTTTTTTGTCCGGTATCTTTTGGATTTCCTGCTCCAATTGGTCTAGCAGCTCATCTATGTTCTCAGGATCGTTAGATTCATGGGCCATCCCATGGATGTCAAATGCGGTTCGCTCCTTTTCTTCAACCGACAGCTTCTCCATTTCATCTGCCAAGAGCTTTTCAATCAGATCTGCCCCATCAAAAGCCTGAGGGAGGCCCTCCACAGAAAGACCTTCCTGAAAAATCTTGTCTATTTGAACACCCAATTCTCTATTCGCAAGGTCCCCATCATCAACTGTGGTACCGGTATCAGGAGCCACTGGATCACAGACTTCCTGATTGTTGGCAGTGTTATTATCTGCAAATGTGGTACTAGTATCCGGAACAGGAACACTGATGTCATTGTCAAGCACTGGTATGAATGGCTCCATCAAAAGAATCAATTTCCTCCGGTTCCGTAGATAATCTACCTACTCTAAAGAACCCCCGTTGTATAGTCTATTTCCTCTGTTCAAGTAGTATCATATTATCTGCAAGTGGCGAGGGGAGGCTTGGCTTCCTTGGCAATCGGCCATTGTCCTCTTTGGCAATTCGCTCCCACCACGTAGATCTTGAGTCAACGAGGAACATGATGGAAACCACGGACCAAGACCAAAAAGGTTGTGGCGTCATTTTTTGCTGTGGGAGTCCGTGACAGAATCACCACGTGGTAGCTGCTCGTAGTATCATGCAGCTGCATCCTGCATACATAATTCAATTGAAATTTTGCTTTTTTATTATTGTATGTCCTACGACTCGTAAAACATGAAGAGAACAATTATTCAATATTTCTTTCTCTCTCAAACCGTACCGTATGACTTCCCAGCCTGATGGCTTATTCGAAGAAGCCTTCGCAACCACCAACGGATCAAAAGATCAAAGCCTCATTTTCCGTGCCGTCCATGCATGATGTTGGGTGTTCGAAGCTCTACTCGACGGCTGCTCCAGCCCCGGAGACTGCAGCATCCGCAAGTCCGGTACTTTCCATGGGTTCCCAATGCGTACCAAAAGAAGCTACATCCGCCTTCTTCCAGCACGCCGAGAAGCACGACGATGAGTCCTCGTGGTCGGCGCAAGCGACGCGAGGGTTCTTTCATCATGACCAATAATAATAAGGCAGGAAAGCCTCGACAGCGAGGAGAAGTGTTGGAATCCACATTGCAACGACACAAAGAAAAACTGAAAGAATTGGAAACCAGTTTGATGCGCAGCATCGAAGCTTATCGACAGTCTATTGTGGGAGATTCCTCCAAGGTTGGAACCAACAACCACAACAAGAGCCCCAAGAAGTTTAGTCCTGGCAATGCCGTTCTCTCCAAGTTGTCCAATCTACACAGCAATCTAGTGGAAGAAGACGAGCAAGAATCCGTTAGCAGCAACAACGACAGCAGTCTGCTGTTGAATTGGGAGGCATCCGAACAGGACTATCGAGCCATTTGTGGTCTCATCAGTGAACTGATTGCATTGGCCTCCAAAATTCAAGTGACCATTTTGGGTCAACGACAGCAACAACAACAAGAGTCAGGCAACAGCCACAACAGCAAAAAGTCCTATTACGATTGGTTGGCCGAACAACTCTTACTGGGATTGATTGAGGCGCAAAAAGAACGGACTCAGTTGGTCGAAAAGGCACTACTAAAAAGGCAACAAACTTTGCAAGCTGAAAACAACAACACAAAAGGACGATCCCTCTTTGGATGGCTCAATATTGGCGGCGTTTTCGATACGAATCAACAGCAGCAACAAGACGACACTGGAGACAACGACGACAAAATTACCAAGGTGTTGGCCCATGAAGATCCTCTTTGTGGACCTCGATTGGAACAGTTTCAACATGTTGCCACGGCCATGCTAGCCACCTTGAAGGATGAATCCTCCAACAACAAAAACTACTACCACAAACCGGATTCTTCCTCGCCCTTTCGACAAATTCGAAAGGCGCAACGACTGCACCATTTGCTACAGAAAATGAATCAACCAGACGATGAAGCAGCCATTCGATCCGTCATTGATGCGTACGCGTGGGTGGGATCGTATGAGAGTGCCCGCGCCGCCGAAAAGGCCGCAGCGGAATACCACCACCACGCGTTGGACGATTCCGTTTTGCAAGCCTATTTTCGAGCCGCCCGATTCTGTCCTCGACGAAAGGACCGCCACAAGGCCGCCATGAGAGCCGAAGAACTCTTTCGGCAACAATGGGACAAAAATAATAATCAAAACAACAACAGCAGCACCAATAGTAGCGATGATTACTCCTTTGAAGCCGACAAGTTTACCCAGTGCCAGGAACTCTTGCGATGCTTGACGGCGGTGGGACCCGAATTGATACCGGATCTGTGCAAACGAGCCGATAGCTTGGTGGATCTTTGTATTGGGAGAGATCAACTCGATGAGGTTTGGAGAAATGGAAGCCTCGGTGGACTCTGGAAAGTGGCCCCTGCGCATCTTACCCTGTCCGTTCTGAACAGTCTGGTATTTGTCTACGCGGCAAGCCCGTCACGGCTCCACTTTGCAAAACTCTTGTTGAAAGTGTTGTTGGAAGATTCAGATTTGAATCATCATCATCATGATTCTGACGTTCCGTCGTACCCCGATATAAGAACATGCAAAGCCGTCATGGGGAGTCTGGTTCGAATGGACGACAGAAGAAATCAGTTGCAGCGTCTGAGGCCCAAGCAAAGGAATAAGAAACAGAACGACAACGACAACAAGCATTCGTCATCGTCGTCGTCATCGACTGCAGCAGAGAACTTGGAATATGGCATGAAACTCTTGGACCTCATGTTGGCTCGGCGTCCTTCTTGCTGGCCCGATCAACCCTACTTCCATTCGCTTTTTCGCCTATTGTTATTGTCAAGACCCAGAGACGCGGGCATTGTGGCAGAAGAGTTGCTTTCGACAATGCACATTCGGGAATGCTACAGCCGTTTCGGGATTCCGATTGTGACGAGCAAAACGTACAATTTCGTGCTGCAAGCATGGCTGGCATCTGCCGAACAGGGACACCCCGATGCGGCGATCAGAGCGTCACGACTGGTTGATTGGATGGCGGCACAATCCCTCCCTCTCCTAACGAGCGACGACAGCAACAGCAATTTGGCGTACAAGACAGCCGTGAAACCGGATCGAAACACATACGATCTCGTCTTGAAGATTTGCAGTGCCATTCGGGTGGACTCGGAGAAGGACAAGGCATTTGAAACTGCTCTGTCCGTGTACCGAACGATGCAAGAGCGTGGCTTGAATCCAGTCAGTGGAACCTTTTCGTTGCTGTTTGCCTGCTGCGAAAACCTGTTGCCAAACAAGTCCAAGCGGACAGCAATACAAGAACTGTTGGCAGCTGCTCGAAAACAAGGAAGCGTGAACGAGGCGTTGCTTGAAGAGCTATCGAGTCGAGGCGATGGGTTGGATAGCAATGGCGACGATGACGAAGAAAGCGCAAAGTCAGGGTTCTCGCTTCTAGCAGATTTGAAATAAGATAGCTCCAGACGATATCGATATCTCGTCTGTCCTTAGTTTTCAAAACATTCTCCGTATCTAGATACCGGTAGCTACGGATGCTCGAGATCGCACATAGAAGAACAGACTAAGTAGCGTGGCTACTAATTCTACATGATATTGTATTGAACCCTCGCTTGGTGTGCAGCCATGCCATTACTTGCTCTTGCCAATACCCTTCTTGAGAGCTTGGACCATAAACTTGTATGTTCCCGGTTGAACTTTGCTACTGCTGGATTTGGACCCCTTTTTTCGCGATCGGAGCTTTTTGTCGCTTTCAACAGGGTTCTTGTCCCATTCAGCAACAAAGAGGTCTTCACCAGCAGCCTCCTCCTCCTCATCCGAGTCGGGAAGACCCAAGGTGCTAGTCGAATTCAGAAGGTGCTCTAAGGCACGTTGCTCTCGACTTCGACTGGTACTTCGGCTCCGTTGTCCCGCCCTGGCAGTGGATAGAGAAGGCCTCCTTCTACGACCTCGACTTTCACTCCGACTCCTCTCTTGTTCTTCTCCTTCTTCGGCAGCTGGACTTTTGGATCGACCTCGGGTTTCTTCTTCGTCTGATGTTGTTGTTGACGGATCTTCTTTGGCAGGTGATCGTCTGCGTCGACTGGCACTTTGGCTTCTTTGACGATGTTCCCCTTCTCCGGAAGCGCTTCGTCGGAGACTTCCTCGTCTACTGCGACTAGCAGACCGACTGCGATCTCTTCCCATGGGTGAGTGGGACAAAAGTTGTTCTTGCCTGGAGGATGGTGGCTTTCTTCCCCGACTTTCACTTCTATCCCGCCCACGCCTCGATGCAGAAGGACTACGTCGTCCCCGGCTTTGACTTCCATCCCGCATTCGCCTCGACGTAGAAGGACTTCGCCTTCCCCGGCTCTGACTTCTATCTCTAAGACTCCTGTCAGATCCGTTTTGTAGACGGCTAAGACTCCTGTCGGATGGAATTGTACTTCCCCGTCTCTGACTTCGACTGCCAAGACTGCTAAGACTGCCATCGGATCCGTTTCGTCGACCGCCAAGGCTCCTATCGGACTCTTGTCGACTGTCAAGACTCTCGTCGGAATCACTGCTAAGGCTCCTGTCGGACCCTTGTCGACTGCTCAGGCTCAAATCGGACCCTCGTCGACTACTAAGACTCCTGTCAGATCCTTGTCCGCGCCGATCAAGTCTACCATTGCTAGGCCTCCTCATCTTGCGGACGATACTCTCGGCCTCCGAAACGGATAGTGGTTTCAAATCCGCAAAAGAAGAAGAGTTGTATTCCTTGAAGAGGTCGGCGGCGACGGAGGGCGTCCCTTTGAGATCGAGCGATTGCTGAAACCGTGATTCTCGTGTTGCTTCCTTATCCTCTCGAAATGCCGACAAACTGCGATGACGATTGTCGGTTTCCTGCTCTTCTTTTGGTATTTCCTCTGCTGCCACGGCGATATCGCTAAGCATATCGCTAAGCATGCTTATTCTGATACTGCAGTTCAAATCTCCATTCTCTTTTTGCAAGACCTGATCGAGAGCCTTGGGATCGGTTTTCTTCTCGGGTGGCTCCGTTTTCTTGGCACCATTTCTTTTTTCTTTTTCCTTTTTGGCTTCCACAGGCGGCCGCTTCTTGGTTGCCTTGGGTGCTTTGGAGACTGGCGATGGTTCCCTGGATGATTTTCCCTTTCCCTTCCCACTACGGGTCCGACCGGGAGCCTTGGTCTTTTTCCGGTTCTTCTTGGCGGCGCGGATTCTCTCTAGCTCGCCCTTGTCGGCATCGATTTCGGCATCGTACACCTTGTCACTCTCCAACACGAGGCTCGGCATGATGATTATGATCAACCCCTTACCGTACAACTACAGCGCCGTACAACATCAAAGCCATGGGGAAACTGAGAAAGAGCTGGGGAAGAGCAGAACTTCTTCGCCCTGTCAGTACGGCTGGATGACATCATCAGGAAGAAGGATGACATCAGAACACCACTTTTGAAATTGTGAGGAATCAGAAAATTGAAATTGTGTGCAATCGGAAATAATTGAAATTGTGAGGAATCGGTAAAATTCAAATTGTGAGAAATCAGCGAAATTCAAATTGTGAGGAATCAAAAAATTAAACATTTCAATTGTGAGGAATCAAGAATTAAAAAAAGAAATTGTGAGGAATCAAAAACTGAAAATTCGAATTGTGAGAAGTTGGCCAAAATGAAATTGTGAGGAATCATCGAAATTCGAATCGTGAGAAATCAAAATCAAAATTTGAATTGTGAGGAATCAAAAATGAAATTCGAATTGTGAGAAATCGACAAAATTTGAATTGTGAGAAATCGATATTGAAAAAATGAATTGTGAGAAATTAAAAATAATTGAAATTGTGAGAAATCGAAAATAATTGAAATTGTGAGAAATCGAAAAAACTTGAATTGTGAGAAATCAAAATTGAAAATTATATTGTGAGAAATCGACATAATTTGAATTGTGAGGAATCTGAAATGGAAAATTAAAATTGTGAGAAGTCAAAAAAAGTTGAAATTGTGAGGAATCCACAACAATTGGAATTGTGAGAAATCGAAATTGAAATTGTGAGAAATCGTGAAAATTGAAATTGTGAGGAATCTGAAATGGAAAATTCAATTTGTGAGAAGTCAAAAATAGTTGAAATTGTGAGGAATCCACAACAATTGGAATTGTGAGCAATCGTCAAAACTGAAATTGTGATGAATCAGAAAATCATCGATAGCTTCCCTAGCTAGCTACCGGTAGACTAGTACGGTTCCCTACCACCAACTAGCTAGCCGCCGGTAACTAGTGCGTGCATATTATTACACTATTAAAATTGCTAGCTAGCTAGTAGTAGACCCCGGGCCCCCCTATTTATTTGTGTACAGTAAACTGACGAGCTTACGCCACGTTTTCTGTGAACCGGAAATTTAGGAGACAAGAAAAGGGAAATTTCATTTTTCAGTCCTGGATCTTGATACTCCAAGTCGCGATCTCATTCCCACTGTCACATCTTTCGCAACTGGTTCATTCTTCCGCATTGGTGGCTGCATTGGTGAGACCACCGGTACAAAACTATCCGGTGGGAGGATACCCCCATTATTTTTCGAAGAAGCCAATGCAAACGATGAAGCTCGGCAGAGTCCTATTGCTCACTCTGATTGCGATAGCATCGGCAACACATGATGGTACTGGTAAAAGTGGTACCGGTGTCGTCTCGAACCGCCGACTACTAGAAGATACGGGTGGAAGTGACCTTTTTACCTGCTCGTCGGGTGGTGTAGAGACCGACACTGACCAGTGCCTCCAACACAAGGGTGGCATCAATGTCACTTGTTCATGCTCTTACTTTTGTCCTGGAGGAACTTTGGTTGGATGCCTAGATGAAGGGGAATCCACATTCTTTGGCTGCAGTGGTGGTGATCCCATTGCTTGTTTTGAGAACCCCTCCGAAGAAGGAGAAGGAGGTCTCTTTGGCATTGACTTTAATTTTGGATTCTTGGATCGATTCAATCTCTCCGTTTCACTCGATTGCCCTCAAGTTCTGGATGACATTTCTTGCGACGACGAAGACCCAGAAGATCCTGTGAAATGTGGCCCTGCGAGGTCGTGTCCCTACGCATCCGCTTGCCATGCGCAATCGGCTGGATATAATGTCGAATTGGATTGTTGCCCGGACACCAGCAGCACTTGTACCTCGGAGCTGGAACCAGTCAGTTGTACCCAACCTATTATTCCTATTCCTACTACTTGCACTGCCAACACGGACTGCCCCGATGGCCATTTTTGTTCCACGAGTTCAGGAAGCTGCGAGATTATGTCTTGCATCAACTGGGCACACGGTCCTCCTACAGGTGATTTCTCTTTTAGTGAAGAACCCTGTGTGGCAGAAGGATCCCAAGAGGGGACTGCCTTTTGTGGCTGGGATGGAAATTGCTACACATATTCCTGTGAAAATTGGTACCGATATGGTCCAGTGGAATTCACCAGCTATGACGTCGAAGATCCTGCCGAATTATCCTGTGAAGAATACACCACCGGTGCATCCGATGATCAAAACTCGGTCGTTTTTGGATGCCGACCCTATCAGCCCGGATTTATGGCTCCACAGCAACGTTCTTGGACGCATTTCTTCAACCAACGATGCTCTGCCAATCCACGAGGCGACGATGAGTTTGAGTGCTTTCAAAATGCTCCCGAAACAGACTATTCCGATTTCTTGGGAGAAGCCGCGCGCCTCAACCCAGGCACCTGTGACAGAAATAATTTTGAAAATGAGATGCCCCTCTATTGGTATATTCTGCAGGTGCAACACGATCGAAACGGACAAATCACCAATTACAATCATCACGGGCGAGAAAGTACAGCTAGTTCCGATTCGTTTGATGCGGCCGCAGCCGACAGGACCATGTTTGCCCGCTTGGTCAGTGAGGATGACCCACCCGCTCGGCCAGACCCACCCGCTCGGCCAGCAATCACCGCTGGTAACGACGACAAGACTTGCCCGTATGATAATCAATGCCAAGCGGATGCTGCCGGGTTCGACGAGGGCCAATGCAGTGAAGGCGGTATCTTGGGGTTGTTTGACTTTGATTTCTTGGACCGGTTCAACTTGACCATCTTTCCAGGAGTGATTGGTAAGCCATTGTTGTATTTGATTTGATGAGTGTCTTGACATCATGCACACGCAGCTAATACTTTGTCGCTCTCCGCTTACCTGTCAGTCGATGCAACGAGGGCACTCACCATGTGCCCAAAGAAATGGGCATCTGTGCTCCAATGCACCGTTCTTGAATGCCCAAATGCCCTCACTTCTTGCCCCAGTCTCTTTGACGTCTTCGATGGACCCGCCGGAACCGATAGCAATACCACTACCTGTGATGCACTGGGCAATGGCATCTGCAATGCTTTCGGGCCCATCGATGAGGACTGCTGCCTCGCCCCTTGCGTGCAATCCATTGTGGATCTCTCTACCTGTGTCGTGGAGGCGACCGTGGGACAATTTCTTGAATGCAGTGTTCCAGACTGCTCCGGCAACATTACGACAATAGCGGAAGAAGCACCGATTCCCCCCACCGGCGCCCCAACAGGAACACCAACATCTCCGCCAACTAGTCTTCCTACTGGCACTTCCACTGGAACTCCAACAGGTACACCAACGTCTTCGCCACTGGTCTTCCCACGGGTGCAGGGAATCCTCCACAGCGCCCCAACAGGCGCAGGAATCCCCCACAGGCGCAGGGAATCCTCCCACAGGCGTGAAATCCCGCTACTCCTTCTAACTACGCTGGACCCCCTTGATCGATTTGGACACAAGTTTTGACACCAGTTTTCTTCCGGAGGGCTTTGGCTTTAGTTTTGGAGAGTATCGCATCGGAGACATCGATAGCGCTTGTCCAGAATGGCAAATCTTTGTCCAGTGTGTCATTTCCGATTGCTCCCAATTCCTCGACGATTGCGATGGAACTATCAGGGAAGACGACGGTAAGTGTTTCGTCGTGTCTACGTGTGGAGTCGTATGATGATGAGTGGGAGTTGTATCTTGTCATTCAAGTTTGATGTCTCACTCTTCTATGCATCATCTCGTGGATCTGTTTGCACTTCTTTGAACTGTAGGCCCACCTGTTGTGGCCCGACAAGGGGCTTCGACGGGGCCTACCTGCGGCGACCTCGAGAATGGTATGTGCCGGGTATTGTCTGGCGAAAGCTGTTGTCTTGCAGAGTGCTTGGCCCACATGCAAAATCTGGTCACCTGCGTGCAACGCGAGCTCGCTGGCAACGACTTGTCGTCGTGCTCTGCCGTGGCGTGTACTGCCGAAGACTCTCCTGGTTCTGGTGCAGCAGTTGTGGCCCGTTCCGGCAATGTTGTTGAGGAAAAGCCGGTGAAAAAGAGTTACTCAGAGCCGGCCGAAGAAGATAGTATTCTTGGTGTGATGATCTCATCAGGAGGCACCAGAATTCGCCACAGCGTGCTGTCCATTGCACTGGCCACACTCTTGACGCTGGGAGTTACCCTTCGTCTTTGATGGAAGGTTTGTTTGGCTACTATTGCTACTCTACTCAGACGCCAGGACTGTGCCTATCTTTTTTGTCTTGTTGCCTTTTAGTTACGTTTCGCCATTTGCCTGCCTTCTGGCCAGTTGGCCAAGGTAGTCGTTACCAAAATTAAAGTTGAAGCCTCGACGACATCCAGGTATTGGCCATAACACTACTAGCTATTAATAGCTAGCTAGCTACGTTACGATACGATGCGGTACCGTACCGTACCGTACCGTACCTATAACCGAGTCTGGAAGTTGTATCACACACTGGCTACCTGTCGGTACCGGTACATGTAGCAAAGTCGAGTCCTTCTCACCGGTGAATGCACCTCTACCGTAGTACCGGTATCCTCATTAGCCTTCATGGCGACGACCTTCGTGCGTCCTGCCGGTCTTCACCAACTGGTTGCTTGCACAGGTTGTCTCCAGACTGATGTACTCACCGGTGCATCATGTCGGTCTTCATCAACCGGTTGCTCCCCTGCTCTGAAACCACCGTCCTTCTATCGGTATCTTCACGGACCCTTTGCTCACGAGTCCAAGTCACTCGAGTGCACTACGCTTGCACTAATGAAGCGGTCCTTCTACATGTTCAGAGTTGAAGTTTCCTGGCTCAGGTTTTCCAGAGAACCTGATCATGATTTGCTCAAGGTCTCAAGGATCCACTAGACTATTCATACCGACAGCACCACTTGTGAAGGTGCCCCCTCTCTAGCCAGCCATTGACTTTCCATTAGAGGACGTCAGACAACGGTTTGTTTTTCAAGGATGCTCTCCACGGGATCTCGAGCAAGGTATCAACCGCTTCAATACATATATCACTCGGCTTGTCAACCTGGGTTAGTGATCCATCCCAATCTTCCCAAACGTATGTAGTAGTTTCCCCAACGAGTTAAAGGTGTGACCCTCCAGACTCCAGACACCGTATGAAGGCGTGGCGGATGTTACCTTGTTTCTTGTTTGGCCTGGATGCTAAAGGCCGGTCTCTACCGGAGGGACTAAAGTAGCGACTAAAGGAATCCTTTAGGTGGTTGTTTAGTTCAAGATTTAGTCATTATCCTTTAGTAATGGTGGTGTCTACCAGCAGATGACTAAATCTCGGACTAAACAATTTAGTCGAGTTTTTAGTCAAAACGTGGTGTCTACCGTGGTGACTAAACAAACACCGCGACTAAATCCATTGCAGGGTGCTGGACTTAAAGGACTCAAAAAAGATTTAACAAAAGTGATCACTTGGTGGGCTACCAATATTCTATCAGCATGGTGGATTTAAAGGACTCAAACAAAGACTTAAAAGAAGTGATTACTTTTTGAGATAACAAGACTGAGATAACAAGACTCAAAACACACCTCTCCTCTGTCATCGTTTGCACCTCTACTATCATTCAGTCAAAGGCCGAGAAATGAAAGCCATCCCGCACTCCATACTCTGCAATGAGGGATGGCTTTCTATTCTCAACCGAAGACTGTCGGCTTGATAAAGGGTAAGTGCGATAGATCGTTCGATCGTTCGATCGCACCTCTACTATCGGCCGATACTCCTCTTCGGTCGTTCGATCCGATACTCCTCTTCGATCGGTCGATCGGTTGCACCTCTACTCTATCAGCTCTGTCGCGATGCTCTGATAGTGAGGCTGTGCAATGAGGCTGATTTTGTTATCCAACTCGGTGGCATGCAGTTGTATTGTTTTCTGTTGGATTTATTTGCTGTTCTTAAACAAGCTTTAGTCCTTACGCTCGCTCACCGACTAACCAGCCTCCTGTTAGTCGGTGAACGAGCGTAAGGACTAAAGCCTTTAGTCTTTATGACGTTTAGTCGCTTGGGTAGACACCACCCCAAGAGACTAAACTATGGACTAAACTACCAAATATGGCTTAGTCGCTACTTTAGTCGCTCCGGTAGAGACCGGTCTTGCCCAACGATGGTCACCTCCCCGCTCCACATCCCAAGTTCCACTGATCGAAATCATGAAATCATTCGTTTCATTTCCATCGATTTAAAAAAGTCAGTGATCGCCTGCCCGGAAACAAGAGACTCGTCCGCAGACTCCGCAGCGAAAGGACCGGAAATCACGATTTTATGAATCCAACCAAATTGATCAATTCGAAACCTAAAATATAATTGAAACCTAAATATAAAATCAAAACCAAATTACTATGGTAATTAACTAGTAAAATCAAGCCGAAACCAAAATATAAGATCGAAACTTTTAAAAATATAAAACCGAAACCTAAATATAAAATCGAAGCACAAGTATAAATCGGAATTTGGTGTAAATCGCCATTTCGGGCCCTTTCAGACGCAGCCTTCCAAAACAGCTTCCTGGAGGTTCTTTGGGGTTCAGCGGATCAGCGGATCAGTAAGGTACATCGTATGTGCGTACCAGTGTCCATTGTAAGTATTAATTAATAATTTACCGGTACCCTACTACTCGCTCGAGTACTAGACTACTGTAGCTTCTAAAGTACTTACCTGGTAGTGCATCGCACGTTTAAACGTACATCGTACAATGAGTGGCTAGTACCTGATTGAATTAACGCAGCTACGCTCTAGCTCTAGGAGATCTCCTTTTACGTCAATGAACCAATGAACATCTCGACAATAATGATACTGTACATGGACGAATTGAATTAACCGATTATTGCCGCACCAAGGATCTCAAGAGGTTTCACTTGTTAGAGATAGTCTAGCTAGCAAGAGCGAGCTGACATCCTATGCATAGTGGCCAAATCAGAACCGTTCCGGTACTCCGTACAGCTGTACAGTCAACATTCAGATATATATACTGGGGGGGATTCAGGAATTCAGTAAATATAACAGCGAGAATAAATATTGATTTTATCCCTAACCCTAACTATTCCCGTAGAATTGTACGTGCTCTAGTACTAAAATAGGGTTAGAGTTAAAAATGTGGGAACTGTAGTATTCTTAAATATTATAGAGCGAATAAATACAAGATTATAAATATAAGCGAGCGTTGACTGTACTGAGTGTGGGAAAGTTGCCATGATACCGTACAGCTGTACGTGCACTAACAATGCTGTATACTTTTACGACATGTTGTGCCAGTAGCCAACTGGAGTACCAGCCCCTTGAAGAGCAGGTCACAACCCACAAGCTGAAAGAAAACAAAGCAACAGACTTTGGCTTAGACAACAGCAAACCTCCACAGCACTACAGCAAGCTAACGATGCCAAGTCAAGCAGAAGAAAAGTCAAACTCCGGATCGAGGAGCGATGACTATGGCAACCGAACACACAGTCAAGTTGAACCTGAAGAGGACGATGGACAGTCAGCCATCCAGGAGGTTCTCACTAGACGACCCGAGTTAGAAGCAAAGCAGTACGATTATCAAACAGAGGCAGATTTCAGTGCCAGCATCCTGGCTGCCATTGAAAAGGAGCACGGCGTGGCGACCACCAACACGGCTGCTTCAAAAGGCTATGAAAGGATAAACGAGGGTGTTCAACTAGGTGGGGATGGAACCATGCAGACTGTGCCGGGAGGCAACACTGATGCCACAGGCCAAGGCGAACACCAAAAACCAATCGAAGAGAAACCCCACCAACTACGACATGACTTGGCCTTCTTTCACGCGCACCATCTTTTGGAGAGGGCCGCAGAAGGCCGGGAGCATGTCAAGATAGAAAGGAATAGCAGACACAGTGGTATTCCTGGAAGCGATGCACACTCTAGCCACGACATTGAGGTGCAGAGAGAACCGACAACAGGGGGTGTACATGGTGAAGAACAAAATCATCAAACTGTTGACAATCGAACAGTCCAGAACTTGTCTCGGCCAGGGGCCTACATGGCAGGTGGCCCGGGTGGAGCCCTCCCACGTCGGGCGGATTCGGCAAGATTGTCTCTTCTTGTTGCCGACCCTACCGATGCAGCTCCGCAAGATGATCCTCGCAACATCAATGCCAGGTCGGGACAGTTAGCAGTGGCCAACATAGTTTATGAAGATCCAGAGCAGCATGCCAGACCATCAGCAAACCCAGTCAATCTCCAAGCTATCCTGCAAAGAGAGCAACAGCGGAAGAAACAGCAAAAATTTACAGCTTTTCCATTTGTGTCAACATGCCTAGCTCACTTGGTACTGAACCAGTGAAATCATTGAAAAAGAAGGTGATGAAAGTAGAGGCAGTCAGCAAGCCAAGCTCTGATGGGAGTGCACCCGAAAGTGATTATCCGACAGCTCAATCTCTCTAGTCCACTCAGAAGCTCCCAGCTCGGATATGATTTCGCCAGTTAAGTAATTGCCGTTCAAATCCAGCTCAACCAGAGAAGGCAGGAGTGCAAGCTCTGTGGCTATTGGACCAGTGAGAGAATTGAAATCGAGAATCAACGGAGGTCAAAGCTGTCAAGCACCAAGCTCAGAAGGGAGCTCTCCTGTAAAAGGATTGTTATCCAATTGCAAGAATGTCAAACCTGTCAGGTCATAGACTGTTGGAGAAAGAAGGGTGGATAATGTCATATTAAGACCATTCCATGCCAACCCCAACGTTTGCAGTGAAGTCAACAGTGTCATCTCAGGTGGAAAAGAAGGTGACAACCCTGTTAGATCAAGATCTTCAAGCAGGAGGGATATGAATCTCCCATGTTCATCACAGGGAGCCTTCCAGTATTCCCTGTCTTCCTCCTCATATACACCGTTTGCGAAATATCCAACACCACTGGAGAACCAAAGACATTCATCGACCATGTCATCCATCCATCTATCCTTCACTGGTTTTGGCCAATGCACCCCCTCAAAGGAATGGTAGAAAGTGGCCATGGCAAAGAGCTGGGTTTTCCTCCATTCTGGCAAGTTGTGATGTTTTGGTGATTGGAGAGCCAGTCCCATGCCAGCCACTGAGGTGTACCGTAATTCTTGAAGGCTCTCCAGTGTGAAGTTTGGCAGATTCAGTCGTGTGGAATCCAAGGCTCCAGTGGGTGAAGAGGATGGCACTTCAGAAGGTCCCATGGAACCTCCGCTAGTGGGAGCAGGTGTTTGCATGTTGGAAGAATTTGCCTCCTTCTGGGCCCCAGCAACAGTCCCAACGATTGGGCAGCGCCAAGAAGGATCAAAACTAAGATAAACCAGAAGGT